CAGCATCCGGCCCCCATTCAAACCTTGCCTTTTTCTTAATTGCCTGGAAAAAGTATAGGCATTTGTCGCCTGATCGACTTAGAAATCTTCCCAAGGCCGCCAGACAACCTGTTAACTTCTGAACCTCTCGGACGGTACGGGGCGACTGCATGTCAATGACCGCCTGCACCTTCTCAGGGTTCGCCTCTATTCCTCTCTGATTAATGAGAAATCCGAGAAATTTCCCAGACTCAACTCCAAAGACACATTTCTTGGGATTGAGCATGACATGGTGCCGCCTGAGTGTGGCGAAAGTTTCTCGGAGGTCCGACAGATGATCTTTCTCAAGTTTAGACTTGACAATCATATCATCAATATATGCCTCGACATTTCTCCCAATCTGATCAAAGAACACAGTGTTTATCATTCGTTGGAAGGTGGCCGGGGCATTCTTAAGACCAAACGGCATGACCGTGTAACAGTATAACCCTTGATCAGTGACGAAGGCCGTCTTCTCCTGATCCTTCTTCCATAAAGGTATTTGATGGAAACCAGAGTAGGCGTCCATAAAACTCATCAAAGCATGACCGGCTGTTGAGTCGACCAGGTTGTCAATTTTAGGCAGAGGGTAACTGTCTTTTGGGCACGCCTTATTCAAGTCTGTGTAGTCTACACACATTCGCCAGGTACCATTCGGCTTTTTAACAAGCACAACATTTGCAACCCAGTCTGGGAAGTAACATTGCCGAATGAATCCTACATCAAGTAATTTTTTAACTTCGACGGCTGCCGCCTGACTTCTTTCTTCGCCATGGTTCCGCTTCTTCTGCCTTACCGGCTTCTTTTTTGGATCCACAGCCAGTTTATGTACTGCCAGCTCAGGACTAATGCCTGGCATTTCATGGACTTCGAATGCAAAGATGTCCTTGTATTCTTTCAACAGATTGTGAAAGTCATCACCTAGGACCCCTAGAGCAGTCGTCCCAACTTTGATTGTTCTGTCAGGACGCGAGACATCTAAGATTAGGTCCGTATGCTCACCAGCCGGCTGAGGGCGGAATTCATCCGACCGCTCCTCTGCCAATGATTGCTATTTTTTATCTTTTCTTGCGGCCCCCATCCGGGATGCCTTTCTTTTCTTGCCGCCTGCTTCTTGAACAGGCGCATTATCCTTGACATTGTCAATCTTTGCTCCACTGGATTCAGCGGCTATAACAGTGGGCTTGACATCCGAGAGATAGCACTCTCGTGCCATCCTCTGATCTCCCCTTAGGGAGCCGACTGTTCCATTGTCCCTCTAAAACTTGAGCAACATAAGAGATGGGATTATTACAGCCTTGGAATTATTTAGGGTTGGTCGTCCCAGAATCATGTTGTAGGCCGAGAGTTCTTCTACCACCAGGAACCGGACTACCATGTGTCGTCCTTCCCCTTTTTCACCCAGGCGGATGGGTAGATCTACTCGTCCTACAGGGTGGACGACTCCTCCTCCAAACCCTACTAAAGGGTGGGAGGCCGGATGTATACAATCAGTTTTGTACTTCAATTTTGACAGACATTTGCTACTGATAAGATCTGAGGAGCTTCCGGTATCTATGAGGATTCGGCCAACTCTCTGATTGGCCACTTTACATTCAATGACGATAGGGTCGTCATGCGGCCCCCTGACCCCTCCTAGATCTTCTTCAGTAATGACAATCTCAGGAAATGAATTTTTGGAGGACCGTTCTGGGTGAACATAATTTACATCTAGCCGCCTGATATTGTCTTTGTTGCCCCTAATAGTGGGACCCCCTCCTGCGAAGCCGCCTGCAATAGTGTAGACGACTGCATCATCTGTATCAGAGCTGTCGGCCTGTTGATTCTTTTTGGCCGACTGTTTTTTCGAGGAAGTGCTCCCCGTGGATTTCTTGACAAAAGAGTCAAGATCACCTTGCTCAGCCAGGCGGTCTAGATACCGCATGAGACTGATGCATTCGTTGGTGTGATGACCAACATCTTCATGATAATCACAGAATTTATCTTGGTTCCGGTTGCTTGCAGAACCCTTCATGGGGACCGGCTTCTCAATAGAGATCCGTCCCTTGATTTCTTTTAGGATAGTTCGGCTATCCTTGCTAAACGCATACTTTGGGGAGTATGGTTTGAATTTCTTTTTCTTCTTCTGGGCCGGCTGTTTAGAGGAATCAGCCGCCCAGACCTCTTTTCTCTTATTTTCCTTGTTTGACGACTGTATCTGTCGTCCTTCTATTTTGTCGAACTTTTTTCCGTCCGACTGTTTCACTGTACTACAAAGATCAGTTGCCTGTATATAGGTGTCTGCTTCAATCAAGGCCTCCTGAAGAGTCGCCACCCTCTTTCGAACCAGATCAAATTTGAAGGTCGACCCGTCTTTGAGACCCCTGAAAAAGTCAGTATAAGCTACCTCATCCGGTAACCCTTGAATCTGTATTCTCATCAGGTTAAACCGCCTGATGTAGGATCGAAGCCCCTCCTTCTCACCCTGCTGAATTGTTCCCAAATCAAGGGTTGTCTTCTTCGCAGGAATGTTCATGGCGAAGTTGGAGGTGAACAAGTAAGCAAGCGTCCTGAAGTTGTTTACACAACCAGTCGGCAGGTTGCCGAACCATTGCTGTGCAATTCCTTTGAGAGTCGCTGGAAAACACTTGCACCAAGTGGGATCATCCAACCCTTGAAGGTACATTAGGTTGGAGAATGCCATCAGATGATCTTCTGGGTTAGTAGTGCCATCATAGGCGCCTACTAACACATTTTTCACTTTGGCCGGCTGAGCAGCTTCAGTGATTTCCTTGGAGAAGGCCGACGGCTGTTCACCAAGTCTAAGCAACCGTAGCTGCCAATCCAAAGGTTGGACATTTTTAGCTGTGTGTCCACCAAACGGAGGTGGCTGCATAAAATACTGTTGCTGTGGTACAAACGGTAAGTTTGGTACCGCCTGGTCGCTATGAAAACCTGACTGACGGGAGGTGCCGCCTGACTGACTCTCATGATACGACTGGGTATGCCTCATTGAGGTATTTCGCAGACTTTCTTGAAAATTTGAAGTAGAGGCCGACTCTGGCAGTCGGTCACTCTTCTTCTGTTCTAACAGCAGACGAGCGTCTGTGTATGTTTTCTTCGACCCGTCCGCCTGAATGTGACGAACAGGTTTCCTATTTCCTGGAGTAGGAAAACGGTATTTTGTGAGGTCAAGGGCAGGCGGCTCCCACTTCCTGGATTTAGGATGAGGAGTTCCCTCTCGCCATTGAACCGACTTCCTCTTGCCTGAGGTGGAAGGTTTCTTAGCCGACTGTTCCTTGGCCGGAACAGGCTTCTTATTAAGCAACTCTTGAATTTCTCCCTTGAAGTCCCTCATGAAGGTCATGAGTTCGTTCCTTGTGATGGGAGCAGACCCATCAGTCGCCTGCTGCCGAACAGACGGTGCGCCTGTTGGCTCGCTTACAGTTTGAAAATGTTCCCGTTCCCTCCTTTTGGTCTGACGGGTACGTCGGGCCCTTAGGGTCCCGTCTGGAGCTGTGTGAGCTTCAACTTCAAGTTCATTGTCAGTATCATGGTCCGACTGGACTTGAGGGTCGTCTAGGGGACGCCTCTCTTCAAAAGTCGGTACAAACGTGGATGCCATCTCAGAAGTACTCTCCCCACAGACGGCGCCAAAATGTTTCGGGGTTTTCTGGTGTCCTGCGGGAGAGTTACAACACCGAGACTGGAACCGGACGCCTGTACCTGCAAAACAACGAAGACTCCTTGTGGTAGGAGCTCCGCCTCCAACGGTCAAGTTAGTACCTGATTAAGGAGTAATAAATGCGGAAATTAAAGTGATTTAGTCTCTCTAGGTGAGAGTGTTTAATGTGTAATCCGTGTGTTGTTTTCGAGTCCTCCCTCTCTTAATGAGGATTAAGAGGGGTATTTATAACCTCGGGAAGCGTGCCACTCTCTAGGTTTAGGGTAAACCTAGGGCTGATTGGGCCTCTAAACAGGATTGGGCCTTGTTGGCCGGTTTTCCCATTTGGCATGGGTGGACACGTGGCGTGTCTCAATTGGTCCGTAGAGGACGTATCTGTGATTGACACGTGGCAGGCTCCTATTGGCCTACGCGAAGGACACGTGGCGGAACCTGGTTGGTCCACTTGTCAGACGGTGATTGGTGGATAAAAATCCCCTAATCAATTATTATTATTATTATTATTATTATTATTAAGGGCCAATACCATTCCTAGTAAACCACAACTTGGCCCTTCCTCCATTGTTTAGTTGCTTAAAACCAACTAAAATCAATGAAAATTTGCACTCTTGATTTTTGTTTAATCACATAAATATAAAAATTGCATAATATTGGTCAGAGCTAGCTTGCAACATAATTAAACCTTGGAATATAATTAATGTAATGTAACCATCTAAATAATGACGCATTGAAGTTGTAAACACATGGTTTAGTCATACAAGTACAGTTCAAATGACCTAAATAACATTAAATAAACTATGAAAATCTACTAGAATTTTCTGAGTTAGTTGTTGGTATATGTAACATATTCAATAGTACAAGTATTATATTTGTATAACCTATGGTTTTTATATGAATTAAAGCCTAGAGCAATATCGTTCCCACGACTTTGAAATATCATTGATGAAGATGATCATTAATGAGAAGGTCAATAATTACAGCTAAGAACTATATTTAAGCAATATAATTAGTCAATTAATCAATCTGCTTTGAGATTCCGTAACATAATCTATCTTTCTTAAGCATGAATCTTAGGTTTGAGATTCGCCACCTGATATTTGTTTAACTTCAAAAATAATTTCTAAATATTGGACTTTTTCTTTTTTCCCCACTTTGAAAATTTGAGAATCAGGCCAAAATCTGTTGATAAATTTTTAAAAAGTCAAAGAAATTATGAAGAATTTAAGACAATGACCTAAATAGATCGTGTAAGTACGCAATTTATTTAATTATAGTTATTGATGATTAATGTCAAAGATTATGTCTTGGTAAGAGAAAATTACTGTAAGCATGCTCAAGCGGTTTTAGCAGCAGTTGGCAACTAATTTCGAGGAGTATTTTGTATACAACGGGTGTATTATATGCAATAGTTTAGGCATTGTGCAGCTATGATCCTCAAGTTATTAAAAAGCCGCCTTTTTTTTTCACAAAATATGGAGTACTTAATAATGTTACAACACTTGAGTATGTAGCCAACTACCAGATGGAACAACAATTTACCATAAGCGATTGATGCACCACAACTAAGAAAACCATTAGATCAGACCACCAACCGTCACTCGTTCTTTGACTTGAGTTGTACTGCAAGCAAGACCAAACCAACTGCAGAAAACCCAGACAGCAAAGTGGATGTATAGAACATTGCGATCAGAGATGTCCTCAAAGACTGCAATCAGACAAAAATTGGGATCAAATGTTAGTTATTTGATCTTGATCACAGCGACGATTAAATAATAAGATGGATTCAAAGATGAATATGTTCAAAAACCTTGGCCAGCAGCAAAGCATTATCATTTGCATATTGCAATTTACCGTCTGAGATGCTTTGAATTCCTTGACTTAGTTGCCATGATAAGATCCTAAATTTTAATTAAGCATGGAGGTTGTCAGTAAGCAAAACTATGACAGAATATTCAAACAAGTGTGATGATAATCCAGAAGCATAGTTGCTTCACTCAGTAGTCACTGGTCAGTAACAACAGAACTTACCCAAAAACAACAGCGATAACTGCACCTATAATTGCCTTTTCAGGTGTCACTTCGACTTGAAGTTCTCCAAACTGCAGGGAGGTACACATAAGACTTGGTACATCTAACAGTAGGCGGTAGCATCCGCTATCATGTAAAAGGCAAAGAGGGTGAGGGGGAATCATAGGGGTTGAAGAAGATAGCGCACCTTGAAAGTCCGGGATTCAGCTTTTGGGAGTTCCTCAGTTGTAGGCACTGCAGTTGCAGATAGAAGCTTCCCAACAGAAATCATTGACTTTGCAATCTATACTTGTTGCAAGCAGCCAAGAATACTGCTATTTAGGAATGCATGATTTAAAAGTTAATTACACTAAGGAGTGAAAAAATGAATTGCTGCATAAGCACTTTTAGCGACATCAATCTCTTCCACCATTTCCCTAGATAATTAGTTGTTTTGCTGCTCATTGACGTGTAAAATATCATAAACTAGTTTTAAATTTCCATCGATTCAGGAAAGCAGCATAAGAAAATGTTAAGGATGCACTATACCCTTTCTAGTTCACCTTGACCATATTGTCCCATTGATTGGAATCTTCTTCCAGCAGACAGCAATCGCTTACCAAAAGCTACAAAGGAAAAAGGCTTATGGATGAGGATTAAGCATTACATTTTGACAATTTAACAATCAATACGTCAATTGAATCTTACCTGCCTTTTCCCTATCAGTCAAAGAAGTCTCCAATAGAGGGAGCTGCTTGGCTAAAGAGGAAGAAGTTGAAGTATCAGCTGATTCCCATGCACGAGTCAGATTCAATAACGTCTCCCCTAGCTCTTGGCCACACTAAAAAAAAAGTGTTTCAAAAATCAAAGTGGCAATTCAGTTTGTTGCAGATAGTTTGCAACATATAAATGATCATCCTAAACTTTGCACAAATTTGCACCAAGTAGAGCCGTTAAAAGTTGACCCGACCCGAAATACCGACTCAAACCTGATTATTAACCGACCCATCTAAACCCGAAAAAATGGTGACCCAAAACCGACCTGATCCGACCTGAAACCAACCCTATACCCGAGTTGACCCGAGTATGTGAGACCCGAACCCGAACATGAACTGGAGATGACCCGACCTGAATGTAACCTGTAATTATTGACCTGAACCGAACCCGACTTGAACCAAAATTGACCCAAACCCGTTTTAATCCGTCAAAACCCGAATTTAACCTGACTTGTTACTAACCTGACCTGAATTCAACCCGACTCGTTCCTAACCCGCCCCCGAATTTAACCCAACCTGTTACAAACCCGACCCAAAATCAACCCAACTTGTTATTGACCTGACCTAAATTCAACCCGACTTCTTATTGACCCGACTCAAACTAACCCGACCCAAAAATTCAACCCGATCTATTACTAACCCGACTCGAAATCAACATGACTTGTTATTGACCTAACCTAAATTCAACCCAAATTGTTGCCGACCAGATTTCAAATCACCTTAAATGCAATTTAGACCACCTTATTATGGTTGATCAAAGCATTTTGTCGAGGGAAACCAAGTCGGTCAAGGCCAGCAAAAGAAAGGAACATCATCATCAAATTTAAGAGTGAAATATAGTATATATTTGTTGTATGGTCAAAGAAGATAATTATCTTCCTAAATTATAAACTATAGTTCCCTAGTATATTGCCATATATATTATAGTTAAAGGAAATAATAAGCTCGATAAAAATGATAATTATCTATTTATAGTTAGTTGCACCCGAATATGACTTGACTTGGAAATGACCCGACCTAATTGTAACCCGCAAATTATTGACTTGACCATACATAACCCGACTTGACTCCGAGAATGACCTAACTTGGAAATGACCCCAACTTGATTATAACCCGCAAATTATTGACTTGAATCGAACCCGAGAATGACCTGACCTGATAATAATCCGCAAATTATTGATTTAAACCGAATCCGACTCAAACCCGAGAATGACCCGACCTGATTCTAACCTGCAAATTATTGACTTGAACCGAACCCGAATCAAACTCAAGAATAACCCTAACCCGTTTTAACCCGTGAAAAACCGAATTAAACCCGACCTATTGTTCACCTGACTCGAATATAACCCGACCTATTATTAACCCGACCTAAACCCGACCCAAACCCGATAAGAAGTATCACCCGACGTGACCCGACTCAAGCATGACCCAACCCAAACCTGATCCGGATAGGTTATGGAATTAATCCGAATTGACCCGACCTGAGTTACTCGACCCATTCTTACCGACCCAAACCCGATCCGTTTACGCGAATTGACAGCTCTACACGAAACATCCAAAATTTCTCAAAAAGCGTGGATATTAGCCTTCAACTTTTGAAATTTTTGACTTTTTTCACCCGGAATTAAAATTGTCGAAATGTAAACCATGGTCCCTAATAACCTCCGGGAGTCCAACTGGCTGGGTGGAATCATTCAATTTGCCTTTAAACGACCAATTTACCGGTTTACAACTTGAACAGATTTCATTAACTCAAGCTTACCACGAAAATTTATGACAACATATAATGATCATATATGAATCCAAACGACATTATATGACCCCGAGATGTATCCCCTAAAATCTCAATGCTTTTCGACACTGGGCCCCGAAACGTTCGAAATTTCTCAAAAAGCGTGGATATTCCTTCAATTTTGGAATTTTTTGACTTTTTTCGCCCAGATATAAAAATTGGCGAAATGTTTACCATGGTCCCAAATACCCTCCGGGAGTCCAATTAGGTGGGTGGAACCATCCAATTTGCCTTTAAATGGTGAATTTACCGGTTTACAACTAGCACCGATTTCATTAACTCAAGTCAACCACGAACATTTATGACAACATATAATGATCATTTATGGTTTAGAACAGTATTAAATGACCCCAAGATGTATCCCCTTAAATCTCTAAGTTTTTGACACCGGGGCCCGAAATCACAAAAAATTCTCAAAAAGCGTGGATATCAGCCTTCAATTTTGGAATTTTTTTATTTTTTTTTGCCAAAAAATAAAAATTGCAAATTTTTACCATGGTTCCTAATACCCTCCGGTAGTCCAATTAGGTGGGTGGAACAATCCAATTTGCATTTAAACGGTTAATTTACCGGTTTACAACTTGCACTCATTTCATTAACTCAAGCTTACCACGAACATTTTCGACAACATATAATGGTCATTTATGGTTTCAAACGTCATTATATGACCCCGAGATGTATCTAATAAAATCTCATTTCTTTTCTACACCGGGCCCCAAAACCTTCGAAATTTCTCAAAAAGCGTGGATAGTATTCTTCAATTTTGAAATTTTTGACTCTTTTTTTCACCCGACATTAAAAATTGCCGAAATGTTTACCATGGTCCCTAATACCGTCCGAGAGTCCCATTGGGTGGGTGGAACCATCCAATTTCTCTTTAAACGACCAATTTACTGGTTTACAACTTGCACCGATTTCATTAATTCAAGCCTACCACGAACATTTATGACAACAAATAATGATCATATATGGATCCAAACGGCATTATATGACCTTGAGATGTATCCCATAGAATTTCAAGACTTTTCGACATCGGGCCCCGAAACCTCCAAAATTTCTCAAAAAGCGTGGATATTAAGTCTTCTTCAATTTTGAATTTTTTTGACATTTTTCGCCTAGAAATAAAAATTGCCGAAATGTTAACCATGGTCCCTAATACCCTCCGGGAGTCCAATTAGGTTGGTGGAACCAACCAATTTGCCTTTAAACGATCAATTGAATTACCGGTTTACAACTTGCACGGATTTCATTAACTCAAGCCTACTACGAACATTTATGACAACATATAATGATCATATATGGTTTCAAACGGCATTATATGACCCCGAGATGTATTCCCTAAAATATTAATACTTTTCTACAACGGCTCTCGAAACCTCCAAAATTTCTCAAAAAGCGTGGATATTAACCTTCAATTTTGAAATTTTTTATTTTTTTCGCCCGGAAATAAAAATTTCCTAAATGTTTACCTTGGTCCCTAATACCCTATGGTATTCCAATTGGGTGGGTGGAACCATCCAATTTCCCTTTAAACGACCAATTTACCGGTTTACAACTTGCACCGATTTCATTCATTCAAGTCTACCACGAACATTTATGACAACAAATAATGATCATATATGGATCCAAACGGCATTATATGAGCTTGAGATCTATCCCATAGAATTTCAAGACTTTTCGACACCGGGCCCCGAAGCCTCCAAAATTTCTCAAAAAGCGTGGATATTAGTCTTCAATTTTGGAATTTTTTGACTTTTTTTCGCCCAAAATAAAAATTGCCTAAATGTTTACCATGGTCCCTAATACCCTCCGGTATTCCAATTGGGTGGGTGGAACCATCCAATTTCCCTTTAAACGACCAATTTACCGGTTTACAACTTGCACCGATTTCATTAATTCAAGCCTACCACAAACACTAATGACAATAAATAATGATCATATATGGATCCAAACGGCATTATATGACCACGAGATGTATCCCATAGAATTTCAAGACTTTTCGACACCGGGCCCCGAAACCTTCAAAATTTCTCAAAAAGCGTGGATATTAGTCTTCAATTTTGGAATTTTTTGACTTTTTTTTCGTCCGAAAATAAAAATTACCGAAATGTTTACCATGGTCCCTAATACCCTTCGGTATTCCAATTAGGTGGGTGGAACCATCCAATTTCCCTTTAAACGACCAATTTACCGGTTTACAACTTGCACAGATTTCTATTAATTCAAGCCTACCACGAACATTTATGACAACAAATAATGATCATATATGGTTCCAAACGGCATTATATGACCTCGAGATGTATCCCATAGAATTTCAAGACTTTTTAACATCGGGCTCTGAAACCTCCAAAATTTCTCAAAAAACGTGGATATTAGTCTTCAATTTTGGAATTTTTTGACTTTTTTTCGCCTGGAAATAAAAATTGCCGAAATGTATACCATGGTCCCTAATATCTTCCAGGAGTCCAATTGGGTGTGTGGAACCATTCAATTTGCATTTAAACGGCCAACTTACCGGTTTACAACTTGCACCGATTTACCGGTTTACAACGGCCAATTTAATTAAATTGCATCGAATCTGACTTGAACCAAAATTGATCGAAACCCGTTTTAACCCGTCAAAACCCGAATTTAACCCGACTTGTTACTAACCTGACCTGAATTCAACCCGACCCGTTCTTAACCTAATCCAAATTTAACCCAACCTGTTACAAACCTGACCCGAAATTAACTTAACTTGTTATTGAAAAAACCCAAATTCAACCCGACTTGTTATTGACCCGACTCGAATTTTACCATACCTATTACTTACCCAACCCAAAAGTTCAACCCGATCTGTTATTAACCCGACTCGAAATTAACACGACTTGATATTGACTCGATCTAATTTCAACCCAAATTGTTCCTGACCCGATTTCAAATCACCTTAAATGCAATTTAGACCACTGCAATGAACCCACTCCCACCATCTCCCATCTCCCGTGACTCTTACCTACCACAGAAGTCAGTGAGGCAGCAGGGGCTGTGCACCAACAACAACAACTTACCTTGGCAACAACACCAAAAGGAGGAGAGGATTGAGAAGGGGACAAAACACCTTTAATTGTTTGTTTGTTAGTGCACCAAAATAGGAAGTGGACAAGGGTAGTGCTTGTAGTAATTAAGGCATTGTTGTCACTTATGCATTGTAGTAGTAGTATAAATAGTAGTAGCCTAGAGTAGAGAAGTTGGGCAGAAAGTATCAAGTTAGAGAGTTCTTGGAGAGTGATGGCC